AAAAGAAAATGGAAACTACTCTAATGGGTTATGCAGGGTTTAGAGTTTAGGGTTTAGGGATGTAGGGTTTAGGGTCTAGGGATTTAGGGTTTAGGGTTTGGGATTTAGGGTTTAGAGTTTGGGGGTGGGGGGCGCGTGTGAGGGGTCCCGGAATAAAAGTCTATACGTTCGGGTCTGCATTGGGTTCCAACGCTCATGGGGACTGCTTGGGCAGTACAGACCCTCCGAACGCCTCCGCCTATTCCTCTTAAGTCCCCATGACGAATGGCTTATGTGAACCCCATGTGTTTGACTGTCTCTAAGCATGTCCAAGATTCGGGAAAACTGCCATATGGCAGATGAACAAAATGAGGGCTCCTGCTTGGCTCCACAATGTAAGAAGGCTCCTGCTGTATAGAGTACACAAACAAGAGACCATGGTTTTTGACAGCCGACTATACGGATATGGTGATTCTGCCTGGCGGGTCCGTCTCGCCTTGGTGGCTGGTGGTTAGGGTTTAGGGTTTAGGTAGTAGGGAATTGAGGAATACCATCTCTACGTAATCTTTATCTGATGTATTCCCCTACCAGTAAGCTCTCTTAGCCTCCCTACCTCACCTCGCTTAGGTGAGACTTCCCTCCATCAAGGATCCCACAGGGGATAATGGTGATTCTCACTATTGGTGCGGGGGGGAGGGCTCACCTTATACACATAGTCTCCCTTAAGTAAATAGAANNATGCCTTTGGGTATATTATAATGAGATCCATATTCTATCTACTTAAGGGGGTGCTATACTACAAGGGGGAACCAGCGTCGTACGTTTTGCAAGGAAAATCCCTAAGCCCTAAACCCTGAACCCTAATCCCTAAATCCTAAAATCCTTGCTGAGGTGGCGATGAGTTTCGTGCCAGATGCCTCTTTCATCCTCTTTTGCCAGTTTCTGTCTTCGTCCCTTGCTGTAGCCTGACTGCAAATTACTGATGCTTAAGGGAGATTGGGGGAGTGGATCATGATAATCCTTTTATAATCACCATATATTTCCGTGTAATGATACCTATATTCATCCTCCCACTCCCCCTTAAGCACCAATAGGGCCACCACTGAGCCCTACACTCCTCCGGATGCCGCTGCTCATTCCTCACTTATGTAGCCATGAAATACTAGTTGTCCTTGTGCCACTGACACTGTGCTGACTGTCAGCATTTCTTCACAATGATTACCAATGCTTCAGACGTTCGCGAAATCTGTTGAAACCCTTTCTCGACAAATCTCGGGTCAAGCCTCTCAGCAGAGGTCCGCTGGCTAGAGTGATCAATTGATTGTAGAAGTCTTCGTCTCTACTGCGAAGGGCATGCTGCTGTGTTCAGCGCGCAGCGAAACCAGCAGGCCTGTCATAAGCCTTCCAGGTGTCATAGCAGCCACCCCTGATGTTTAGGACACACAAGTTGAAGCTCGCAAGTGCCAACAGCAACTTCAAGCCCCCCGATTTGGAGAATCTCTCCCCAACCCAGCCCAAGTCCCTAGTGTTGAATGAACCTGAAAATGGCAACTATGTTACACATCCAGAAATTTTGTGATTTCGGATCTCGCAAGATTTGTTACATCAGCGCTGAGGTGCGGATAATCAGGTGTGCTGCTCCCGACACGGACATCGAGCTGATCCGTTACTTGGGACCGCGAGCTCAGCTTTTTCCTCGTAGGTTTTCACTTTGAATAATTTGGATGCCCTAAGCCCTAAACCCTAAACCCTAAACATCCCCTGAGGGTACCCTAAACCCCATTCAAGGTTGGGAGAAAGCCCGTCCTTTCTTCCTTGCCTGCCTGGTCTTTTTCTTGTGCCTCTTAGCCTCTTGGCAGCAAATTCATCGGTTTGCTGCTAAGGAGTTTAAATTAAGTTACCATAATAGGGATACTTCGCAAAGAATACGGTTTCCTTGCTGTAGTATTGTAATTTAAGTTCCTTGAAGCGACCCAGAATCTTCTCACACCCCTGTCTCTCTCCGTATGGCCCTTACGAATACCTTGCACGCCGAGTCCCTGAGTCAGGTTTTAGTTTCAGACCGTGAACGTAGAGAGTTTTTCGCCAGCCGCTGTCCATCTAAGGGCCCAATCAAAGGCCTGCCATATTGCCCCCTAGCTCTTTGCAGAGTTATATAATACCCTTGCAGTCAGCTCTAACGCTTAACCCTAGACCCTAGACCCCCAACCATCTTAAACCCTAAAGTCTAAATCCTAAACCGTGGACCCCAAACCATCCTAAACCCAAAACCCTAAATCCTAATCCCTAACAGTCCTCAAGGTAGGCAGCTGTCTTGCATGTCACTTGCTTCTGCTCCTTCCAAAGCTGACCTCAGGCCAACACCCAGGCGCTGAAGTCTGTAAATGTGGAGACGGTCATCGTAGCACGTAGTGGCCTCAGCTCTCTTTTTCGGTTTAGGGTTTAGGGTTTAGGGTTTAGGATTTAGGGTTTAGGGTTTAGGGCTTAGGGTTTAGGGTTTAGGGTTTAGGTAACCTAGATTCAGTTACGATAATTGGGAAACCCAAGTGTCTATTATATACCCATATTATGGTAACATAGTTTAAGTTCCGTAACAGCAAACCATTTTTTGCCTAAGCTCCAGGGCCTCTGGAAGATTACAAGCTAGAGTGGGGTTTGGTTCAGGATGCAGTGCTGGTGGTCATCAATGTAGTAGTCGAAGTAGCACGGTAGTACCTTTACTGGGTTGCTGCTAGGGAACTTCGATTGAGTTACCATAGTATGGGTATATAACAAATATTAGGGTTTCATCGTTGTAGTAATGAAGTTGTTGTGCGGCAATCTTTAACATGCTGATTAATCTGTAGTTGAAGGTTTTCAGACAAAATGCTTTTGCTGCCAGGGGTTGTGGCTGGATCTATTCCTGCCGGGGCATGGCGGTCCACCTCATGGCACAACGCAGGATGCCATTCCTAAATCATATGAGGTTATCCATGTCTGGATCCGCAATCAGGTGCGGAATCCTGGCATTGGAAAACGCACATATGCACACATACTGTTGATAAAGAAGAGTTGCACTTCTTGGGACAGCGCGTTCAATGCTTTTTTCCATGGAATAATGACAGACTCGTTGCTACTACTACATGGTGCTCCTTTCCCCCAGCCTTGCCATTGAGTCTTTCCAGGAAAAGAGATTTCCCTTTTTTACCCGCAGATACTTCACATACTATACTCCTTAGTTTCAGGGACCTCCAAAGAAAACGAGTACTGGTGCCCTCATCCGCGTTGCATAAAAATCTCGGCAGCCTGGTTGCAAGGCTCCTGCTCACCTATTGCTGCAGCTTGCCTGAATGGATGACATAGTGCTGTAAGTAAGCTTTAGAGGTTTAGGTTGGAGCAGTTTTCATTTTTCAGGATAGGGCCTGGTGCTACAGTCATGATGCTTCATCATGGATGGTCTGACATTGAATAAGTGATTTAGCGGCTTCCTACTCAGAAGTCTTCCTTAAGGCAAGATACTTTGAGCAGCGGGTAATCTAGCCCCGCTTTAGGTGTTTCTTCGCAGGAGGATGTGCTATATGTGCATCGGAATTTCAAACATTCTCCAATCCTCCTTCTCAAACAAGCTGGATCATCGCTGCCGGCACCTAGAACACTTGAACGCAGAAGCACGCGCTTGAAACTTCCCTTAAATGGCGCCGGAAAGCGTCAGCCCTCGTTCTAGACGCAGCCTTCAAAAGCACGTGAGAATCACCAATTCGCTTGCCCCTTCAGATTCTAAACCCCAAACTTCACAGCTGCTTAGTTGCATTCCTCCTGGTTGTGCAGGAGATAGATATTAGCTGCTGATGCAAGAAGAGCGGCGCTCGGAAAAAGACTTGTTAGTGGCGGGGAGATGAGGTTGTGATCTCGTTGTGAGATTCGCCCGAGATCCATACGAGCTCTTGTACTTCTAGATCTAAATCCCAAACAGAGATAGCCCAGGGACCTCAGAGATAGCGGCATAAACAGCAGGAATAGTAGCTATATCATTACCTGTAGCAAAATTAGTCTTAGTTGGTAGCAAGCATAGTAGTAAAATTCATAAGAACTGAAAAAACATGATCGGGACGGTAGTAGGAAATAATATTACAATACCCTAAACCCTAAACCCTAAACCCTAATAATGGCACAGTGGGAAGATGAGGTCTCCGTCTTGGAGCACTTCACGCTAGGAAGGGCCTTGCCGAACACGCCCGGAGTGATGTCACTTCTTGCCACTGGCGCTAACATCAAGGACAGTTCCAGGTGGGTAGTTACCCTTATAAGAGGCCTATATAAACCTCATATAGGCCCATTACCCTTATACGAGCCTTATATNNACCCACCTGAAACTGTCCCTGATAACATGCTTTAAGGCTTAGGGTTTAGGTTTCGGGAATGAAGATTCACATGGGAAATCAAAGAGGCACATTAAAAAGGAAGCTGGGATTTTGTTTGGGTTTGAGGTGGGAAAAGGGAGAAAAATTCAAGGGCTGCGCAGGGATGTATCTAGGGATTTGCGGTTTGAGGTTCAGTGCTTGGAGTTTAAGATTTAGTGTTCAGGCATTTAGAGTCTAGGGTTTAGGGCGGGGTGAAGATCTCATATGAGATTTTGGTGGTACCGCAAACTCTAAAACGCTTTGAATGGTTGCAGCCTCTGGTGGTTGGAGATGCTGAGCTTTGTGTTTGGGGTTTTCAAAGATGTTGGAGAGGATTGAGGGCGCAGGATTGAAAATTGTAGGTTGGGGGATTTGGTTTGGGGGTACACTACCAGGCGCCTTCTCTTTACAGCTATTCACGATGTCTGGCAGTTATTGATCGGTACGAATGCTCCGTAGAAGTTCGACAAGCCAAATTCAGACGTTCTGATCCTTCTCAGGCCATTGCTGGTGGGGCTGTCATCTACGTGATCTCGGATGAGGGCTTCAAAATCGAAGGATATACATGGCTTCTCCTATACTTTGTGTCCTGGCTGCAGTTTAGACCATTGTCCAGAAGGATAGGATTCAGGGTAAAGTTCGCATGCATCTCCAAGATGTGAATCCCTTTGCGGGAGCCACCTCATTCTCGATATCCAGTTGTTTTGGGACGCCGCCAATGAAAAATCCAATTTCAGTTGGGGCTGGCTTGAGGAGTTTAGAGTTTTCGGGTTCTGATCACACCCTGTGATGATGAATGCAGCTGCTGCTGCTGCTACCGTTCCTGGCAGGCTATGAGGGGCTGTTCTCAAGGTCCTTGTCAAGGAGGGGCCATGGGGAATATTGTTTTGAAAGCGACATCCGAACCAAAAGGGGAACCTACCGTATGGCAAGTTGTTGGGGGCTGGTAATTTGAACAAGTACTGTACCCTAGGAGCTGCAAGCAGTCTCTCAGAGACCAGGGGGGTAGCATCTAGGGTTTGGGGAATGGAAAAGAAAATGGAAGCCATGATATTCTTGGGGGTATTATAGGGGCTACTGTACGGATCCATTCCTGTCAAGATAAGATGGCCGCGCTACCCAAGGTTTTCATCGTCGTGGAGATGGTCTTCGTGAAGTTTGTTGTAGACACAATTCCTATGTCAACCTGGACGCGTGTCTACTACAACAACACCATGTGCCCTGGCGTACCCTAAACAGGAGTTTCCATTTTCTTTTCCATTATTCCTATGTACCCCTAAATTGTTTGAGCAACGGTGTCGTCCAGAATGCATCCGACGGGAACTGCTTGAAAGGTTCTGCACATTCAGGTGACGCCTCATGCAGGTACTTGGAGGGTCAGGGAGACTTAGTCAGAGGTTTATATTGGGGATACTTAGGGTTGCTACATGGTGTATAGTGCTTATTAACCTACTCACTGAGTCCCCCTGACCCTCTAAGTACAACAGCTTGATCATCCACACGGGCTCTGAGCCCTAGCCTCCCAAGCTCCACATCCTCAGTTTTCGCATTGGACCCACAGACCAAGCAATTCCTTTGAAGAATAGGCCCTTCTAGCCCTGAGTGATAGACATTCCCCTAGTAGAGAATGACAGCATCTAGGAATTTGTTGTTGCGGGGTCGTTGATTCACTATTGGTGGGAGATAGCCGCTCTACATTTCCAGCTTTCATTTCAGTTTCCATTTGACTTTGTGTTTTATTCTTCGTTTAGGGTTTAGAGTTTTAGGGTTTAGGGTTATATCCGAAACCATAAACCCTGAACAGGTCAATCCCCATGGTGATCCTTTCGTCTTTCATGACCGGCTTCGGCGCCTTCATGAAGGCACTCCCAGACGGACAAAAAACTTATTGCCAGCAAAGGATTTAGGGTTTAGGGTTTAGGGGTTTAGGGTTTAGGGTTTAGGTTTTAGGGGCTTAGGGCTTAGGGTTTAGGGTTTGGGCGCCTTGATGACTTTATGGGGGCCAATCTCCTTGTAGTCCACCCCGCCGGTCCCTGAGGTTAGTCCAGAATTTGCAATTTTCGTATGGCAAGCACTAGTGCTGTAGTGTTGTAACTTCGTTTTCAGCAGCTTGCTCTTGCCAAGTCTCTGTTTCTGACACTTTCAACTTCTGCTGCTACTGCTCATGCTGCAGTTCAGAAGGCCTGTGCTTTTCCAATTTTGATGGATATGACCACCAAGAATTTCCTCCTTATGACACTAACACCCTCCGCCCCCTAATCAGTAATATTTCCAGTAGTATGCCATAGTATATTGGGAATGTTGGTTGTCAGGGGATTGGGCTTTCTTACCATTCAGGGGAAAGGCAGTTACTAGCCCCCTCCCCGTCTACTGCTGCTCGTCCTCTTCTTCCTCCTCTTGCTGCCCTTCAGCTTCTTGGTCCTCTGCCGCCCCGGTCAAGAGATGTTTCTTCTGATTCTCAGTTGCCTTGACTGCTGTCAGGACTATTGATGTGGGAGATTCTCAAAATATAGCCCTTCAGGGCACGCCTGCAATTCCCTCATAATTCCTATCCATCACCTGTTCTCCTTAAAATTCCTTTACATGGAGACTTTCATTGTAGGGGGGTGGGAGGGTTTACTACAGAGGGGAGGGGGATCAGGAAACCCTAAAAGACTTAACCCTCTAAACCCAAAAAGACCCAGCTATTTCTGCCAGGTTGACTGGGGAGTCGCACATTTCTTGGTGGTGGGCCTTTCCTGTGTGATAGGCCGGCACTATTCTGATATCCTTATATCATTACATCTCTTATGGAGACTGAAGTGGAAACGAAAATTAAAGAAGAAATGGAAACTTATATGTATTCAAATATATATACATATATATATATATGTAGAGATATGTTTTGATAGTGCAATACCGCGCATATGGGGGTTTGCAACAACTTTGGGGGGCTTTAGGGTTTGGGGATATATTGGCCCCCAAAGGCTTCCTAATGCTCTATTTAGGATATAAGGTTCGAGCTGGCGAGGGATATTATCCGAAATAGCGGAGAACGACACGGAAAAGATAATGGGAAGTGTGTTCGTACGGTGGTTTATGTGGATTAAGGTGTGCAAAATGTGTGGGCACCTTCTTATGGTGGAGTCCCTATGAAAGGACCAGAATATGTTGAAGTCTAGAATGGGCCCCCGAGTTTTGGAGACTGCCCATCTTCTTAGTACTATGGTTGCTATCACTATCATTATTATGATTACCATTGTCATTATTGTTGCTGAAATGCTGCCATTGTTACTTCTGCTACTGTCACTACTATTGCTTGGCTTCTGCACGGTGTTTTATAAGCTAAACTGTTGTAGCATTTTTTAGGGTTAATTGATTGCAGTCATCATCGTTGTTGCAGAAACGATGGAGATGCTGATTGGAATTCACGAAGCATCTTCTGCCACACTGATTTGGACTGCCTGGATGCCCACCAGCAGGGCCACCCAAGCCTTTCAAGCAAGTTCTAGTTTAAATCAGGATACTTTGGGTACTGCCACTACTCTGTAACAGTTGGAGAATATATACAATATGGTTATATATCGCCCTTGTTTTGATTCCTACAAAACATTGTTACAGGGTGGGGGCAGTACCCAACGGATATTCCAGTGTCCAGTATAAGCAGCTTGATATTCTTATTCGGTTGTATTACCTTAGAGCATAGCCTTCCTTGGTTCAGCCATAAAAGCATTAGTCATGAGTACCAGCGGAGGTGTCGCCATCTCCTACGCGGGGACTGAACCTCAGCATCCTGTTCGTGGAGTCAGGGTTTGGAAATCATGTAAATCGATGTTATATGGGAATATGAGAAAAGGTTTAGGGTTCGGGGTTTATTTTAAGGGTAGTTTTTAGAAGTCTGAGGTTTAGGGTCAACCAGAATTCTTTTCTCAACGCCGTGCATGTGACGCACGTAGAATCCTCCCAAAGGTACTGATGGGACTGCATACAGTTGTCTCCTAGGTCCTGACACCCTGTCTCTCCTTGCACAAGCTGTCTCAGCTAGAAACGGAAGTCTCTTTCTGGCGAGATGTAGGACGGACGCTACTCTTGAGAGTTGCAAATGTCAGGACCTTTTTTTTGAGGTAGTTTCATGATCCTAAACCTTTAGCCCTAAACCTAAACCCTTGGAAGAAAGTTCTCCCCAATCTATGCTCTTCTGTATCCCTGTCGAAGCGCCTTCACTACCCTGTGTCAACCATGTGGCTATGTTATTCAATCACAGGTTGATAAGGACCACCCCTGGAAGGTGGCCCCCAAAGCCTCCCCATGAGGGACTATTGGGGCGCAAATACAGGCTAATGCAGACCCCTGAATAATAAACCCCCTTCCCTCAATAGGGATTATAATAGGGATCCTAGTATAAAGGCCCAAAAAGGGGGGGTATATTAGTCATGGGTCTACATTAGTATTGGGGCCATTGCGGCCCTTTGAAGCCTATTGGAGGCTCGGGCCTGGCAAACCTGAAGCCCTATCATACAACCTTTTGAGAGAGCAGATGCTCCGATCCACCCTAAACCCTAAAGCCGTGACTTTGGCGCAATTCTTTTGTGAGGTCAGCAACTTGAAGAATTAGGGTGAATTTTTAGGGTTTAGGGTTTAGGGTTTAGGGTGTGTACGCACAGTATTATACATTGAAGACCGATTGTATAGTACCCAAGACCTACGGTAATTCCTCCTTCAGACCCTTACATTGCATTAGGCTCCCACCCAGCAACTGTGGCGTTCGAAATTTCTTCTGTGGTGGGGCCCCAATACTCCAAATGTACTATAGCCTAAGCTGCTCAAAGGGGGGTCATGTAGGGGATTATATAGGGAAGTATTGTAAGGGTTACTAAGGGGGATACTTGGAGTTTGGACTTTCGTTCAAATCATTTCGCTCAAATCAATCCCTAGATGCCCCTATAGGAGCCTCCATGTCACTTTCCATTTGACCTTCCATTTCATTCCCCATTGTTGGGGATGATCTCCCTTGTTAACGCAATCCGTAAGCCTCAGGCAATATAGTGGCTTCCATTTTCTTTTCCATTCCCCTATATTTCCCTAGAACCCTTTAAGGAGCATCCTAAACCCTCAACCCTAAGCCCTGAACCCTAAACCCTAAGCCCCCAAACCCCAGCCTGCATTGGAAAGATGACCAGCGTCAGGTTCAACCTCCGGAAAGCCGTGTCAGCAACATCGTTCACTGTCATCGGCCAGCGACTGAGAAGCTGTTGGCACAGACGAACACCTCCTACAAGTGCTTAATAAGTTAATATCACAGGGGGGGGGCTGTCGCGATTTTTGATCCCTTCTTTGGCACCGTGATTATTAGGGGCCGTCGTATAATGGGTACCCCACAAGACACCGTGATTTCGACAACCTACCATGTCACATAGCTCTTGGAATGTTTCCCAAACAAAAGGATCTACGCCAAAAGCGCTTGACATCATGGCTTCCAAAGTAGGGACAGGACCACCACGCCCCTCGGCCCGAAGTGCTGTGAAGGTGTTCTATGCAAGCTCCTCACCGTCCTTCTCAATGATGTGGCGGCTGGGCCAAGTTAGGTTTGGGAGTACTGTGGATCAGCATAAGTGAGAGTGGAACATATGGAACATGAAATGGAACCAAAGAACATTGCTTCATATGGGAGCATGTCGGCGGAATGTAGAAGAACCTACCAGAATATATCGACGAAGGGAAGGATATGAAGAACTGTGGGTAAGGAACCCTAGTGTGAGGGCCTCTTTAGCCCAGACATGCTTAGATCAGTTCATAACTGCCAAGGTTTAGGGTAATTTTGGTCATGCCGGATTGGTAGTATCAACTGTTGATAGGAAATTTGTTGGGCTCAAGCTGCTTCAAGAGAAGTACTTCTTAAAATCCATGTAGACAGCAGCATGTCAAGATTCTCTGGCAGGGAGCCTCGTGGTGAGGACCCTAGAAGCCCATGCTCAGAGGCTTCCCAGATGTCCTAACTTGAACAAGTGCATGTGATGCTGGTGTCAGTCAGCTTGGGCAAGGAATTACAGTTGATCGGCTTCCTGGCGCCCAATGTAAATGGGCTCTCCCAAAAATTATGAAGCCCTTTTGTGGTCCCTAAAGTAAGGGCTGTATTTTTCTGGGTTTATACTTCGTCCCCAAATTCAGGCAAACTACTAAATGTCGTAGCTCCCAAGCCCCATCCGTAGAACCCTGAATGTTTGTCGGGGTTGCCCTTGAAGGAGCCCAGGTTTCATTGTATTGTGAAGCCATATCCTGGTATCTTAAGTTAAGTTCCTTAGCAGCTCTTCCATGTGTCATTCATAGTCTAGAGCTCACATGTTCAATCCCTGAGAGCAACGAGGCCTGACAGGCCCGAATAGAAGCCGAACGAGGCGCATAGAACTTTGTACGCCAACTGTTGTCCAGATATCTACTGACAGCCCCTTGGCATCATTAAGCCTTACACAGTAAAGCCTGAAGCCGTTGCCAGGGCCTAAAACACAAAGCCTGAACCCCGCCTGAAGCCTTCTCCTTACACCCCAAACTGGGCCAACGTTGCAAAGACTATTTAACTTGTATCATATTAAAACCTAGAAAGAGATGTAGTATCTCAATGCGGAACCAGAGGCTAGATCCTAAACCCTAAGCTTAAACCTCTGAGTTATTCTCAAAATTATGCGCCCCTTTTGGCTATGAATTACATTCCGGCACTTCATATTGAGTGGTACCAGAACGGGACCCAAATTTTGGGAACTACGCAACTCAGGTCTGGACCAACCATTCCAACTTCATGGGGCACCTGGGCCTGCTGCTCTGCATCATCGCAGGCCCTGGGAAGCGTTTGAGCGTTTTGGTTTTACGGGTTTAGAGTGTAAGGTTTGGGGTTTACACTTTATGGTAAATACTCCCCCGTAAGCGAAGGGCTGCGGTCTTGAGGAGGCTTCTGATAGTCTGATAGGGGTTCTACGTCAGTTCGGAAGGGTTTTGAGGTAAGAGTCTCTGTCATGGGGAATTTTGACGGTGCCAAGTTTGTGCAGGCGTGGTTGCGGTTGGTTTTGATTGCCCGAAGGGAAGCGCAATGAGTCTGATGGCTCTGGGCTTTCCGGGGTTTTAGGTTTTGGGGTGTAGGGTTTAGGGCTGAAGCAAGGTAGTCAGGAATTGCCAAAGAAAGCAGGATCCAGATCTTGTAGGCATCTTTCATGGTCATCCAGGCTCCACAATAAGGTACAGAGCTTGGGGTCTGGGAGAGGGATTGGGAATCTTGATTTTTGCTTTTCTTGCATCGTGGCTGTGGGCAGGCTTGCAGTTAATTATCACAGGACTGTGGCAGTTTTCCGCAGAGCAGCCATGAAGTTTCAGCCCTCCTTGATTTACTGGTCGTTTTTCTTACCTCCAGAGGTGTTTTCCCAAAAGGAGTGCGGTTCGTTTCGGGAATTCCCTCAAATAAAGAGGAATTCCCTAAAATGGGTCTTACGTGCGGCCACCTATTCATGGAACTGTCCGAAGAAAGCCTCCTTATGTAGCTGAAGCACAACAATTCGTTCGCTGAGAGCATCCTTGTTGGTACCTCGAGGTTCAGGCGAAGTATAACCCCATCACGACTTGCAGTTATCACCTCATTGTAATTATATTAGAGGACTTAGGGGGCTCTAATTGAGGGATAGGTGCAGTTATAACTGAGTTGTAATTGCCCTGAACTTCCAGAACTTTGCAGCGAAAAGCTTAAACGCTTGAATTTCTGGTCAATCTTGGATATAGGGTTCAGGATTTAGGAATGGAGATTCAGAGTTCCCAAGCTTTGTTTTTGATTTTTACCCTGAACCCTAAACCCTAGGGTTCAGGTCGCCCGATTGTCTTTCTCGCAACGGAATAGGCCTCGATAGGCAACGCTGAACCCTAAACCCTAAACCCTGAACACTCTCTGGAAATGAATTTGAAGGATTCCTGGTGTCCTGAAACCCCAAGGGTTTAGGGTGAAGGGTTGCTTCTGTACCTTAACTTAATGAGTTTCCCGTTTATAACCTAAAGTTTAAAATTTAAGGCCTTGGGTACTACCATTCCCCAATTTTGTGGTCGGAGTAATTCTGTATATCATATACGTTACAGCCTGGGTTTGGAGTCCCCTTTGGCCCCCGTCAGGTTTCGCATACGAGCGGACGAAGGCCTGGCAAGTAGCCTTAAAAGCGAGTAGGGCTATCCAATGAGGAGCGCGATGCGTCCTGGGCCAAGAACCCCTAAACCCTAAACCCTAAACCCTAAACCATTAGGATTGTACGTGTACCGGTTAAGCCACTGCAGCACCGAATTCATGCTTTCGCGGGACCGGTTTCTGTCAGATTTCAATTGGCCCCAATTCTAAAGAGTCGGTTGCTGGAATACATGTGGATGGTTGTCAAAATTATGACCCTTTTTGGGGTACCCTAAATATTAGGTGCCGTATTATAATAGGGATCCACAAAGGGACCATAATTTTGACAATCGCCCATGTTGTGGTGCGGAAGCAGCATCTCAGCCTAATGTAACGTGATAGAGAAGACACAGCAAAAGTGGGATTTCTGCTGTGTTCAGCGACCTCCAAAGCTGTTCTGCCAAACGAGCATGATCAGTTGTCCTTCCGGCCAACCTCCACAATATGAGTTTCTTGGATTTGTGGTCCGTGTAACTTTGCTTTGTGAGTCTGTGCTGCAACAGCACACCTCCTACAGGAGCCCTGATGTGAGTTGATCTCAAAGCTGCCAAGCATAGGACGAACCCCAAACAGCTCGGCAGGCATCTATGATCTCCCAGAGTCAAGAATCACGTGGAAAACAACATGGAACATGAAATGGAAGCTGGGTCTTGTAAGGGCTCATATAGTTCTGGAACGCATTCGCCAGACTTTCGCCTCTGGACATCTGGGTAGAACGGATTGAAGACGCTGCCAGCAAAGTTAATCTTGAAGACGCATGCTACGGGCACCGTCTATGCTTCAGTGAAATTAATAAGAACAAGATTTTTCATTGAAAGCCGGGGTTTTTAATAATCACATAAGGGTCCCTCCATCTTCTTGTTATAGCACTACTACAGCAATGGGTGGTGGGACCACCTAACCCGTAGTTAGTTATAACACCAGGTAATACCCTATGATCTTTGTTACGATATAGATACCATTTGTGTTTCGTAATATACCTACAATATTACTACCTAGCCCTTAAAGCCTTAGTCCCTATATACCATCACGTTTTCCATTTCATTTTGCATTTTCTTTCCCACTTGCGTCTCCATGAAGCGACCTAGACCCTGCATCCTAGATACTTAGATACCCCGAAAGAACCCAATGTAACCCCTGAATGTCCCTATATGAGCTATAGTCTAGACTCCTTAAAGGGGTCTATATAGGGGATTATATAGGGGACTACTATAGGGGTTATTAAGGGGGATACTAGGAGTTTAGACTATAGCTCATATAGCCCTGTGGTTGCTTCCAGCTTCTTTGTCCTTGAGGCGAAATGAGCTTGCCAGCGCCTTACAAGCCGCCTCAGAAGAGCTTTTTCATGTGAGCCATGGGCTAAACTCCTTAAAGGGGGTTACATAGGGGATTATTTAGGGGACTACCATAGGCCTTATTAAGGGGGATACTAGGAGTTTAGACTATGCATTATTATAGCATGAAAGGCAAGTGTATAATCATCATGATAACAACATTGATCATGTGAGTGGGGGCGTTTTATAATGGAGGAAGAGATTGCCGCAGCCGGCGTTACTGGCGCTGCCCACATGTGGGGCGCTCCTGCTTTTCGCAGCTTGAGTCTTCATGTGGGTATTTCTGCAAGGCAGGGTACGCTACTTGGAGGGTCAGGAGGTCTTAGTAAGTAGGTACATAACGCCTATACCCCATATAACAACCCTAAATATCCCCATTATTAACCTACTTAATAAGTCCCCCCTGACCCTCCAAGTAGGGCATTTTGCGTAACTCTCTTGTTGCTGTATGAGCTCCGGACTCGAGTTGCGAAAAACATCCCTAACAGGCCCTGCTTCAATCCCTTTCTATGCCCTATAGGTCCCCGCCAAACACTGACTCTAGCTGGTACTTCATATTAATAAGGTGATTTTTTTTATTTTTTTAAGCTACTCCAACCCTATATCATAGTCGGGGGTTGGGGTAGTTAAAATCGCCTTGCTACTCCATACAAATCCATATAATCCGATGTAACCCCAGTTTACAGGTGATTTTCCATTTTCTTATACATGTGATCCCCCGTTATTAACGAAGATCCCTACACCCTACCCAGAGGTAGAAACCCAGTGCTCGACATGAACAAAAGCTGAAGTGCTCCGACAGCAGCCAAAGTCCCTAAACCCAAAACCTTAAACCCTAAACCCTAAACCCAAAACCCTAAACCCTCAAAAAGACAAGCAAGGCGGATGAGTCGAGGGCGCCTGATACGACAGCGTACTATGGCTCCTTTGAGCTACATTCTAAACTCCTTAATGGGGGATATTTTAAAGGGGTTTGTAGAGGACTACTATAGGGGTTATTGCGGAGCATACTGGGAGTTTAGACCGCCACAGTGATAATACTTCTGCACAGCTCTGTTTAGAGATATGGAGCTAAGAGAAGCGAAGCCCAAATCCATTCCCATCCATGAACCTTGCTGTAAGCTGTGATGATTCAGTATAGCTTTGTCTGCACGTTTCATCTCTTGAAGCCTTGATGCAACATCTGGCTGGTAGATAGCAAGAGCTCAGGATTCAGTTATGCATGTACTGTGCCTCCGGGCCTTCACGCCCCGCATTCCAGTTGAAAAAAAGATTTGCAGCTGTTGTGAAGCTTCTCGGCAGTTTGTGCACGAAGTGCAGGCAAAACCACACGTGTCTTGGAGCTGACTCTCCATACAGCACCCTGCCGGCCCGCAAGTCAACAGCTCGCAAAGCTGTGGCTTAACGGCTTCCTTCTGGTACAGCCCCTCTGTGGTAGCTTCCATAAATAGGAGGACCCCAATATAGACCCAAAAATGTTGTAGTCCTTATGATAAGGATCCCCAAAAAGGTACCCCTAAATTTGGGAAGCTCTAAGCCCTAAACCCTAAACCCTGAAGTAACCCCTATATCCCCCTTGAAAGGTACCCCTACTAGTAAGAAAATAAACGCAAACATAGTAATCCTAATAATAACAATGATATCAAGAATAATACTAAACATGATGGTAAGAAAATAGTAATAATGATAGTAAGAACACATAGTAATAATGATAGTAAAGATCATAGTAGTAATAGTAGTAATGCTAGTAAGAATACTTGTAATAAGAGCAATAATCATTGTAAAGATAACCGTTATGATAGCTGCAAGGTCAGGGATTTTGACACACTGCAGGTTAAAAGGTCATATGCGAGCATGCATTCGATATGCGTGCACGGCTTGCATGACGGGGACCGCAGCACTTTTGCTTGAGCTTGACTCGGAAGCACAGAGCTGCATCTACATACGTCTTTGCATCCACTGGCACATCTGGGATCTACGCAGCATCCACAGCGTTTGAAAGGCAGAGAGGCTGCATCGCGATCTCCTAGCAGCATCGACTTGCTGCGCCATGTCAAACCAGCGTGGACACGTCGCCGTAGCCTCCCCTGTTACTCCCAGGGGTGCTACTGCTACTGGGCAGAGTTTAGTCATGCGGAGCATGGGAGATGTTTGGCTGCCGAAGGTCGGTGTAAGATTGCTGGCAGGTCCGAGTGGTCTCAGTCACCCGCTCCTTGAGCTGGGGCCCAAACAATATAGTCCCCCTTAAATAGATAGAATATGGGGTATATGGGTATATTATGATATACCCAAATCCATATTCTATCTACTCAAGGGGGATCATAACTCAGCTTCCTGGCGTATGAGGGCTGTGATTTCATCAGGTCCACAGCGTAAGCCTTGGCCCCAGAGTTCTACTTGTAGCTGTTCCAGTCGGTGTTGGGTTGATTCACGTTCTGGCAGCCTTGGGAGATTTGAAACCTGCTCGGGTTGAGGCCGACAATTCATGTGAAGACGAAAATGGAAGCCAGGATTGTGGGTGTCGGGCTCCTATTGAAGCGTTTGTGCAATGCTCGTGTGGTGTGGCGAAGTGGTCCGAGATCACCACGGTGCGAGTTGCATCGCGCGATGGCGGAGCTCTCAAATTTCGGCCCGATCATGCTTCAATGTTATCTTTTCTGTCATGGTTACTGCTCACTGCTACTTCTATGCCAGTGCTGCTGCAACCGTTCCGCAAGCATCTGTCATCAGCATTCTTGTCATCTTCCCAAAGCACCTGTGTCAGAGCTCAGAGTATGTCTGCTGCTGCTGTTCTATTACCATGCACTACGGGCATTGCTATAATTTCTTTCCTACGGCATTTGCGCAAGCTGAAAAACATGCGAGAGAGCTTCCACATCCTAAGAAGCCTCAGCTCTAGGCCGGTCGGCGTCTCGGCCACCTGCTGGACGCGTGAATGCTGCGCTTGCCGGGCCACAGGCTGGACCGGGCCATGTAGGGATCGCCGGGACGAGGTTCGCGGTTCCACAGCCCAGCGTCCGGGAACCTCGTGAAGCGCACTCTTCGGCTCATGCTACGACACGGATGTGACGAGATTTGCTCTGTGCCATAGGTGCCCGTAGCATATGCGTGGCAACAGGGAAACCCACGCGTCGAGGTCTTGGTGAAAACTTGTGATGTGACTTTCCTGTGGTTTCATGTATGAGGGGTAGCTCTGCTGTTTCACCGCCTTTATTTGCTTCAGGTGATGACGCCCCGGCGCGTCCGCGGCGGCCGTGTGGCTGCAGCCTCTGCCCTCCTGTGCTATTCTTTTGTAGGGAAAGTGTGCCCCGCTTTGAGGTGGAATTCAGCCCACCTAAGCAGGCGTGGACTCTGATGAAAGATGATGCAAGGGAGGCTTGGTGTGAGCAACAGCGAGTGAGGCGAGGACGGGAACGGGCCCAACTGCTGTACGGCAGTGGCCCTGGAGGGGGCAAGCCGACAGTGAGCAAGACTCTGACTACTAGATCCGGCTTGACTTGTTCAAGCAAATCGCAGTGCATGCGTGAGCATGCTATTGAATACATGGATTTTGGGAGGGCCTTGACAGGCATAAAGATGCAAATCAGGAGGTCTCGAGTAATGGCCTTGGGCCTTGGGCTTTTGCATTGCGAGGATTTGAGGAGCTTAGAACTGTTGTGCAGGGGAAGCTTCAGGAACTGCGGGCGTGAATAGAACTTGAGATCCAATGCTAGCAGATCTGCACACAGGTCTCGCACCATGATGGAATCACAGTAAACTCCTCTTTTTTTCTCTTTCCGCGAGATTTCTGTGGCGCCAGCACTTCCACTGAAACATGTTGAGCAAAGCGGCGTGGAAGCAGGGAGTGCCTTCATACTTGGTGAGGTATGTTGAAGTCACTGCGAGACTGAGGCTTCCTTCGCCGGCACCTTGCCCGGGAGCTCCTTCCAAGGTTCGAAGACGACCGCATGTTCGAGTCCTCTCCTTCTGGCGACTGGGCTTTCGTGCTCTGCAAGTGGTCTGCCTGGTCAGGAAGCCAAAGCGCCCTTCGAAGGTCCCTCGCGCGTGGATGTCCTGCAGGAGGAGCGGGGGAGGGGGGAAAGGGTTTTAAGCTGAAGGGTCTGAAGGGTCTAGGGTCTTGGGCCTTGGCGTCGGCAGCGCTCAGGCCGTGCGTCAGATGGCGGAGGCAAAGTTCAAGAAGGAGCTGGAATTGAATCGGCTGAAGGAGGAGAGTGGTTGCATGTGGTCAGGTGAGATGGTTTAGGAATGGGGATGTAGGGATTTGGGTAATATTTGGATAACATAGGGTAATATTAGGATACTGGAAACTGCGGTATCGGCTTTAGACTTGCTGCAGGACCACGTGCAACAGTGCTCGGACATGGCCCGCGAGCCTGGACTGCAAAGACTCCAAAGGTGCTTAGGGTTTAGGGTTTAGGGCTTAAGGTTTAGGGTTTAGGGTTTAGGGAGTTTCGATTCCGGTGCCTAAACAGTTTTCGGTAGGTCTCGTGTGTGTACTATGCGCGGTAAGTAAGGAGAACGATTCGCTGGCCGCCGAGAACCAATGTCACTTGGCAAGAAGTGGCTCCGAAGCTCAAGCCAACTTCCTCAGTTCGAGCTACAGTCGCCCTTAAGTTGATAGAATACGGGGTATATGGGGATCTTAATATAATATGCCGAAAGCCATATTCTATCTACTTAAGGGGGGCTGAAGTTTGATGAGTCCTCGCTTGGCTATGCCAAGCTGCAGGTTTGCGTGCGAAGCTGGCCCTCGCGGACGCCGAGTCAGAGGCAAGTGGGGAGGTTGAAGCGCAGAAATGCATGGAGATGGAGGGCAGAGGGCAGAGGGCAGAGGGCGGAGGGGAGTTGAGTTTCGCTGTGGCGCCTGCGCAGGAGCTGCTCAGCCACGCGGAGAGCAGCCTGCAGGCCCCCTTCCTTATGTTAGTTTTCCGGCTCGGCTTCCCATGGGCGGGCGGGCCAGTGCTTGAGAG